CCCCAGCTTATATACTGAGCATGATGTCATATGGTATGGAATAGCCCTTTGGCCAGTCTGGGTCAGCTGTCCTAGCTATGCTCCCCCCCCTCCCATTATGCACCTGGCAGAGCATGAGAAGCTGAAAAGTCCTTGACTAGTGTAAACTCTACTCAGCAAGAACCAAAACATCAGTGTGTTATCAACATTATACTCATCCTAAATCCAAAACACAGCACTATACCAGCTACTAAGAAGAAAATTTACTCTATCCCAGCTGAAACCAGGACACAGGCCCACTAGCTCTAGCTGATACCCTTCAGGAGAGCCTCCTGCAGTTTTTAGATGAGTTGCTCCTGGGACTCTGCATAGCATCAGGAGCTGCAGCTGCTCTTTTGGAACACCTCTGGGATGCTAAGTTACATGCCATACGTCCCTTACGAGGACAGCTGTCCATTGGCATCTGCCAAACCTTTTCTTGTAAAATGAAGCACTAAATGCTTTTGAATAATTCCTGGACTTGGTTAAGGGTCTGGCAACTCCTTATTCCTCTGTATAATCTGTTGGATATTTTATACTGCTACCAGGCATCAAGAACTTAATTTCCCCTCAGCACAGCTCTCCTGGCACTTGGCACTGTGATCTGGCAGTGTTTGCTTTGTGTGATCCCCGTTTCCAGGATTTCTGTCAGCTCTGAGCGATTCAACTTCAAAGTGAGGCTAAGGAGAATAGTCAATCTACAGATCCCAGCACTGCTCTCCAGCACACTCTGTGAATACCCTTCTCTGTCTGAAAGTGGCCAGTGTCAGTGCTGAGATGCCTTTCTTGCTCAGTTCTGCCTTTCTGGATGAGTCCCTCCTTGGCTCATTGCAGAAGCCCAAGGCTCATGGCCTCGAGTGCCACCAACAAGTGTCTCATTGTGTTGGAACTCATGGGTGAAGAACATTGCTTGAGGAGGGACCTGTATACAGATTTAAAGCCAAATAGGCAACGCCATCACAATCTTCTGAATCAGCAAGCTGATGATCCCCTGTGTGCCCCTCTCTTCTCCTCTGCACAAAACTGGACAGATGCACTGAGTAGTGGCATGTATCCTACCATAGTGGTCTGGGAAGTCTGTGCTTCTTGGAAGGGAAAAACCTGGGAGGAAGGTCTTTGAGGTCTATTTTCCAGGACGTTAGTTAGTACTGGAGGTTCCCTAAGCCTCACCCCATATTGCCCCAACTGCCACAACCCAAGCTTCAGGTTTGGCTTCTCTCTCTGTTCCCCTGGCAGGGGCAAGGCTGCCGTTGAACGGAAGGGCCCTACTAGGGAGGGAACTAGCTGCATGCTGCAAGCTGAAGAGCACTCTGCTGATCCACAGCAACTACTGAGAACGTGGAGATGTGTGTCTGGCTGGACTGTGAAGAGCCTGGCAGTCTGTCTGAGGGAGATGGGGAGGTTGCAATGGATGTGACTTATGTGAAAACTCACTTTTTTTTTTTACACTCCTCCTGTTCTGTTCTTCTTCTTCCCTGCCTGCTTGCTTTTTAAGACAAGACCATTTCCACAGTAACCAGCTGTGACCAAGCATGCAAAGGTAATTCTGTCATGCTCCTCCCATGGTGTTTAACTAGTGTTGCACATAGGATTACCAAGCCTCTACGTTGAGCAATAAAGAGTGTCAGTAGATGAGCTCTCAAAAGCAGAATCTGCTTTTGTGCTAGCACACTCTGAAGTGGTTTTCATTCTTAGTGATTTACCAGATACCCACAGTCTCTTGTTCCTGATTTACTAGGGAAGAGCTCTAAAAAAAACACTTCCGAGTGATGCTGGACACTAACATGATTGTTTCTGTCTCTGTGGCATGAGATCAAGTCTCTGGCTCTCATGAAGCTGGCAGCAATTTGAGCTTTGCCCTTGGGTAAATGAGGTTTATTTCTTGCACTGTTTCTGAGGTTTACACCCAGGATCATTCTGTCTGTACAGAAACCCACGGCTTTATGAGTTCTGTTCTTATCTGCTCAGTTCCTTTTGCATGAGGCACTTACATTTGTGTGTTATTTTTCTTTCCTCAGAGAGGAGGAAGTGGCTCGGTTTCACGCGGTCATCACCAATCCCAGTTACAGAGCCAACCCCCTCATGGCCATCAGTGAGCATCTCTCCAAGAGGCTGAGGCAGGAGGAAGAAGGTAAACCCCTCTAGGGTGTCAGCTGGGACCAAACGTGCACACTGGAGCTGGTGCAAGGGCTCCAGGCTGCAAAGGAGCACGTCACTAACATGACCTCTTAGCCACTTCAGTCCTTGGAAGCAGTTCAGCAGATTATTAAATCCAACAGTCCTGTGTTCTGTCTGCAAGAATAATGCAGTTCTCTCCTGACAGTGGCAGCTGCTCCCTGGCAAGCAGCCTGCAGAGAGCAGGGTGTTCTGTGAGATCTTTGTGCAGACATTACGCTCCCTGCGAAGCGTCTTGACATCTTTTCTCTTCTTGTGAGCAGGCACAATTTCTTAAATTGTGCCAGTGGCAATGTATCTGTTTTCTGTCGTTTCCCTCCCCTTTCTGACAACTCTGAAAAGAGATTCCCTATTGCTCTGTTGAGATGGTTCGAGACCCCAAGCCCTGGAGCCCAGAAGGCTGTTGTAGATCTGTGTAAGGACCGATGCTGCTGTTCAGAGACACTGTTTTATGTGAGAAATTTAGCTTTGGAATAAACACACTTTCACACAATACTGAGTTTGTCTGGCTCTTGTTTTGGTAAATACTAATTGAAATATGGCCTTATTCCCACCACTGAAAAAATTACTTAAAAGAATGGTTTTTTCCAGTGCATACAGTGAACGACTAGACTGATGCTGCAGCATGCAACAGAAGCCACGTGAAATCATTGCAGATCACATCTCACTCGTAGACTTGCCTTCCTCCTACCCTGGAAATGCATGCTTTCCATGGGTGATGCTGATCCCTTTTGGCCTATGTTGTGTTCCGTGCTTGGCCTGCCCTATAGGAAGCATCCCTGGCTGCAGGCTGTTAACTTCAGCTGGTCATTTACGTGTTTGGGTTTGGGAACCGCTGCAGTGGTGGGAGGCCTTTCCTTCCACCAAATACCAATTTTCACAGAACTCCAGTGAATGTTCTTGGGGACAACTGAAGGCAGGGCTGTTCCCTCTTTGAGATGATCCCGATTTGACACCCCAAAATGTCAGTGCTGTCTTTTGAACCACAAAAAAAAGTTTTCTGATGCTTTTTAACCTTGGAAAAGCAGCCTGCCTATTTTGGGTCAACGGTGAGGAGAATCTGAAACCTTTAAGGATGAAATTCACTCTGATGCCCAGACAGAGCATGGAAGCTGCAGCTGACTCTTACCCAAGTTAGTGCCTAAAACCAGCTGTGATGGGAGTGGCAGACACCTTGATCATACCTGTCTCTTGCATCAGTAGTAATGCTGCTTTTTTTTTCCTCCTTCTAGGCTGGCACTGTTGAACAAAGGCAGTTTTTCTAATGCCTGCCTCTTAGCCCTGGCAGTGCAGATGCTGTTGCTGATGCTGCTTGTTGTTAGAGGAATGTCACGATACCACCCCTCCTCCCCCAAGGCCTGGCAGGACAGTCCTGCTGGCAGAGGCCACAGAGAAATGCTGGCTATGTCCCATCCTCCACCCTGTTGCTCTCGGGCTGGCAGAGGGCTGGCAGGGCTCTCCTCTGCCCTGACAGCTCCTGCGTCGGTGCTGGCAGGTGAATGCTGCTGTGCTGTTTGTCGGCGTGCTGTAATGCCCTGTGGGACACAGGCTCTGGAAAGCAGAGGGCTGTGGTGGGGTCAGACAACTCAAAATATCTCCCCACCTCCTGGTTGGTTCCTGCTTGCTCTCTTACTGGTGTCTGTGTTTCTTTTAGGGCATGTTGGATTTTGAGCTCTGAACGCCAGCCCCAGCTACAGCCATGTTTCGCCTGCTTATGTTATGCAGTCTGGGCACTACATTGGAGAGCTGGGCCTTGGATAGGGCTGTGCACTAATGACTAAGACTTGGACCAGGCTAAGGTTTTTGGGGTGGTTTTCTCTGTAAGCCTACTGTTTACCCCTTTACTCCATCTCATAGCTAGCTGCCTCCTGAGAAAGGCGCCATCCTTGTGCTTAAACGGAGGGAAGGTGAGAGATGAAGAAGGTGAAGACATCCAAGTACGAAGAAGGATGAAGGCTGATTATCTTGTTAGTGAACAGGGCACTCGGGGATGGAGAAGTGTATCTTGAGGGCAGGAGGGTCAGAAAGCAGCTTGCATGGCATGTTGTAGGACTTCTGTTGCTTGTCTTTAGTACTTTGCAAGAGCTTTGCAGCTTTCTTTTTGTCTTGTGGTTTTTAGATAATACATGACACATGAGGAGAGTCCTGGCCTCCTTGTATGGCTGGGTCATCCAGTAGCCAAGCTGTGCCCTCATGCTTCCCTTCGCAGCAGCGATGATGCGTTGCTCTGCACCATCACAAATTGGTGCGGTAGCTGGAGAGCAGCCACAGCCAAGTTGGTAAAATGCCATCCTGTGTTGTGCACCTAGGGTGGGATCATATCCCTCCCCTTGAAGATGCATGCAGTGCATCATGACTGCTTTGCATAAATCCAGCGGGAGTGGTGATTTCATTTGACAAGCACCACTTTCCTGGGCACCATCTATTCTGCACAGAGCAAGACCATCCTTTAAAGCCTCTGGAGAGTTAGTTGGATTGTCCCATGCACCTCTGTTCCAGACCAGTTTCTTCTTAGTAATTTCTCCCTAGGATGAAAACAAATCTGAAAGGCTATCAATTCCTGTCTTCCCAGACTACTTAGTTTTCTTTCACAGGCGGTTCCAAGTAACTTCGAGTTGAATCAATGCTTGGATGGCCTGAATTGCAATGTTAGGGAAAATCCTCAGCTGGCAGAAGGGCTAGTTATAGGTACTAGGGTAGATGTTGCTGGTGGTCATGTGCCAAGAGATTGCTGCCTTTTATCTCTAAAAGAGTAAAGCCTGACAGGACTGTGTCTTTTTCTCATCCTGTGCAGTTTTTTCTAAGAGGCCCTGCAGTTTGGGGCTGGAGTGGAAAAGCCATTTCTGTGTGTAAAACCAGCTCTGAGCACTTTAGAGCCCCAAAAAGCATCACCAGGGCAAAGGGCTCTGTGGTTTGTGTAGCTCTTCCAGGGTGGCATCAAGACAGGGGCTGTCCCATGTCTCAGCCTGCATGTGGACTTCCCAGCGCCTTTAGGTTGCCAGCTGTGGTGGTTATGGCCAGAGCTGGTCACTGGAAGTTTGAACACCACCAGCACAGTCATCCAGCACTTCTCCCGTGCTCAGCCTAGTTGCTGGGTCCCATCCTTTCCCTTCAAACCACTGGGAGCCAATAGAGCTGAAGCTTCATTACCTGGAAAGCGAAGGGGTGACTGACCAGGCAGAGGTGTTGAGCTGGGTGACCCCACTGAGTACTGCCTGGTAGCTGTAGCCACGCTGGTGGCCCTTCACCTCCATGCACAGCATCGTCATGCAGCACATTCACACCTTTTCTTTACCTCGGACGCCATCACTTGGCTGTGTGTCTAGCTCTTAGCCTGCTGTTTGAGAATGTTGGTCTCTTGGGTATTTAGCAGCAGTTAAACATGTGACTGTTTGAAACTACAGTTCACAGCCTGCTGCTGCAGGCATCTCCTGCCCCCGCCATCCTAGCAGTTGAGCAAAGGACTTAAAATCTGCCAGGAAACAGGCGTCTGAGACACAGAGTCGCCTTCGCATTTGGCATGTTTTCAAGATGATAAAAGCTTTCATGCCAATTCTTTTTTTTAGATAGCAGGGTGGGAAAAAAATAGCTTCCAAGCTGGAAGGAGTAGTTGTGCTGGAGGGGAGGGCGGGGGCCTGACCCAGCAGCTCTAGACTTAGCAAGAAGTGAGTAAGCAGCAATGCACTGCAAACTCAGGGCTGGAAAAATTTGGGGCTACTTTTCACAGCTGTTTTCTTTCTCGTTGGTGATTTTGCTCTTGAAGCCTGTTCACAGAACTGTGTCTGAAAGCAGGAGCTTGGGTATCCTGTCCATCTGGTGGTACGAGCAGATATTTTCTGCTGCACTCAAAGCACCCAAAGCAGTGGGTGGAAGGGGATTCTCCTTTACCAGCAGCTCATGGGTAGTGTCTTTTGTTGGCAGGTTGCAAAGGGATATTTTTTTATAGCAGTTCTTGCAACTCCCATGTCTCTCCCTGGTACCGGCAATGGCCCATCGTGCTTTGTTTCTGCTGGAGCAGGGGTTACATCAGTCCAGCGGCATGTCTCAGAAAAGCGTGGTGAGGCACATGGACCTGGCCCCGACCCTTCGTCTAACCCAAGGAAGTCCCTAGTGCAAGTACGTAGACTCCTTCCTCCTTCCTTCCTCTTTCTGGGTTGTCTGCCCTGGAAAGTTTTCCTTACAGACCTTGTGCAAGCGAGGAAAATAGGACTTATGCCAGGTAGAGAGTACTTTTGCTTACTCTCTGGTTGAAGCTGTGAGCTGCATTGGCCCCATGGCTTTCTTTTTTTCCTAGACCTACGCATGTGTGATGGCTTTTGCCAGCATACCCCTGCCAGCTTCGGCACTGAAGCACATGCCTGTGCTGCAGGTACCAGCAGGGTGGAGCTGGCTGCCTTTGAGGCTGCCAGGGAAAGCTTGTGGCAGTCGGGGGCAGGCAGTGAGCCCAGCGGAGCTCTCAGGTTTGCAGGAGTTTTGCACCCAGGGAGTTTTGCTCCCAGGTTTTGCACCAGACTGGGTGCCAAACTGGCACCCAACTGGCAGCCACTTGCCATACCAGTGTGTTGTCTAGTGGCCCATGACTGGGAACCCAGCCCTGGAAGTGCATCCCCTCCTGTCTCCCAGGTGGACTCAGACCTTCCTGGTAAATACAATCTGTAATGGACTGCAAAAACAATTTAATCCACACTGCTTTAGTTGGACTGGCTTTGTCAGTAAATGCTCTGGGATGGAGTGTTGGGCTGGCGTAGAGAAATCGGGCAGTATTGTCGTTGCAGGGTATAGGTAGAACAGCATTTGTAGGTACTGGTAGTACTTTTTCTTGGATGACAGGAGGGTTGCCGTTGGTGCCTCCTTCATACCAACACCAGTTTGCGGAGGAGAGGAATGGGAGCATGACAGATTAATTTGCTTTCTCCTGAGTCTTGCTGAGCCAGTGAAGAGATCGCAGGACTCTGGCAGAGGGACTCTAG